TCGAGTATAATCTTTGGATCTAGCGGCATACCTACTGAGTTACATGACTGAAGACCTTGTTTTGTTAGGATAGACTCGATATATTTGGTCTGCGTGAGTCGGATTGACCTGTTGGGTCTATCTCGAGTGATCTTGATCCCAACAATTTTCCTTGGTTCCCCTAGGTCAGTAACATCTAAATTTTTTTTGAGTTGCGCTTTTAGCTGATCCATCAGACTCGAATGATCCGCGAATAACAATAGGTCATCGACCCATATGGTAATTATTTCCGTTCCTTTTGCGGTCTTTCTGATGTAGGTGCACGGATCAGATTTCAGTCATCTGAATCCAATACTCATCAAGCGGCTGTTTAGCTCGAGATTCCATTCTCTACCCAACTGTTTTAGCCCATAAAGGGTCTTTCACAGTCGACATACTCAGCCGGTTCCATCATTATAGCCTTCGGGCTGTTCCATATACACTTCTTCTTTTAGTACGCCATTTAGGTACGCCCCCTTTACATCCATCTGCTGCACTTCCCAATCAAGGGATGTGGCTGTGGACATTACTGAACGTATCGTTTCTATGTGCACTATAGGTGCAAAGGTATCTGTGTAATCCATGCCGGTATCTGTGAGTACCCTTTGGCTACTAACCATGCCTTGTATTTGACTATTTCCCCTTCTTTATTAGTTTTCTTTACGAGGACCCACTTTGTTAAGACCGTAGCTCAAGGGTAGACGGATCCGAAGGGCTTGGCCTCAGCTTGTGCGCTGTGCCCCTTACCCGAGTACGTGCCCTTAATTTCAGATTGAAGTCCAGATGGAATCCGATGAAGTCCGAAGGACTTCCGGAGACTGGCTACTCTAGTAGAGTGCTAGAGGACTTCCGGATGAGTGCGAGAAACTTCTGGAGGAGTATAGGAAACACCAGAAGAGTTTCATCCACTGTATTAGATCCGAAGGTAAGACTTCCCAAGGTAAGTTTCCTAGATAGAAACACATAGAGGATAGGCTGCAAGGGACAGAGTCCAAAGCAGGATAGGATAGGAGGAGTGGTCCGAAGGACAGGACGTCCGGAGGTCCGAAGGTTAAGGTGTCCGAAGGTTAAGACATTAAGACATCCGAAGGTTGCGTCGTCCGAAGGCTACGACGTCCGAAGGTTACGACGTCCGAAGGTCCGAAGGTTTACGAGGACCGGAGGAGCGGACAGGATTAGGACAGGAGGGGAAAGGCTACTATGGACAAGGTCCGGAGTAGAAACAAACAGAGGTAGACTACACTATGGTAGAGTCGGATAGAAGGGGTTTAGACAGAAGTCTCGGAAAGACAGGAAGTGCCGGAAAGGCAAAGCTTTGGTCTAGGGAATCAATCCCTAGACTTCAGAACAGAGACATAGGGGACAAATCCGAAGGTCTGGATTTCTGGCCTAGGGAATCCATCCCTAGGCCTTGATGGAAAGGCAGAACTCAGATGGACTAAAGTCCAAGACAAGAATGAGTGAAGTCTAAGATGCCAGGGAGCAAGTCTATGTTGAATGAGTGCAATCTAAGATGATATTCGAACTGAGGAAACTTTACAGGAGTTGTACAGATCTTTATATATTGGAAGGGATCCGAGAGGATTGGTAAGCTGAACACAAATGCTATGTACAAGCATGTGGAAACATATTAGTAAGTATGAATGGAACATAAGTAAATGAACTCGGATATGAACAGAGTACAAGGATCAATAAGCAAGACGGAAACAGAGATAACCGGAGTCCGGAGTCAAGGGGATTACCATAAGGAGATAGATGCTGATTTAAGGTTTGGGCTTCGGATATGAGTCTAGGTCGGATCCAGAGGTCTAGAGATATCGGATGAGGCGTCTGGATATCGGATGAGTGGATCTGGAGATCTAGGTGAAGACAAGACTAGGATATGGATCATGGGTATAGACCAGTAGTCTAGGGAAGGTAGAGTCCGAGATGGAATGAGCTCGGATCCGATAGAACTAAGGGTGGATGAAGCAGGCTTAGCTGCGGAGGTCCGGAGGTATGGATATATGGATGTACGAAGGTGTACGGATCCAAACCGATAGTGGACTGGAGGACTGAAGGCATGGATAAGGGTATGGAGTCATGGATAAGGGTATGGAGGTCCGGATGTGCATCCAGAAGGCGTGGGAACATCATCGGACGTAGGTCCGGAATACAGGATATGACACACTTATTCCCCACTAGGGTGCAATCTTTTGGGGGATCTACCAGCTCCCAAGTGCCCATTTGTTCTAACTGGGTAAGTTCTGCTCACACCGCTTGTTCCCACTTTGGCCAGTCATCTAATGCTTGTGCTTCTTTTAGTGACTTAGGCTCATGGGGGTCAAAACTTCTATTCACGGCGAGGGCGGCAAGAACTATGTCCTCTTGATAGAGTTCTTCCTCAAGCTCATGTCGTTTGCATTCGAGGTAAGCCCATTCTGGTTCTGGTTCTGGGTCATTTAGTTGCTGATAGTCGTGTCTTACCGTTTGTCTTTTCAATCTTCTAGGTAGATCATCTTCGTCTTCGTTTTCAGAAGGACATTTCCTTTTTAAGGGTGAGTTATCATCATCTCCCTTTATATTATCATGCTGATCTTCGTTTGAACTTGGACATTCTCTACCAGATTGCTTGTCGACTCATTCTGTCTCCCCCTCACGCTGCATATTGGGGTGCAGAAGGTGTTGCGCTAGTTGATGCCTGCACGCCTACTTGTTCTGTCTCCCCCTCACGCTGCGCATCGGGTGCAAGTGGTAGGACATGTGTAAGGAACTTGAAGTTCCTCGATATACAGATTTTGTGCGTGCGGGTATTATAATATTTAATTGCCTTTGGTCCGTCTGCAAATCCTACAAAGATTTGCTTTATTGACTTTGGGCTCATTTTAGATTGATTTGTGCCCTCTTGGAGCACATACACCGGTGCACCAAATTCCTGTAAGTGTGTCACATTCGGTTTCTTACCATTCCACAGTTCCTCAGGTGTCACACCTTGTAGCGCTCGTGTAGGCGCATGATTTCAAATATATGCGGCATGTGATACCGCTTCTGCCCATAAAGATTCCGGTAAGTCTTTTTCAATTAGCATCGCTCGTGCTAGTTCTGCTAACGTCCGGTTGAATCTTTCAGACACCCCGTTTTGCTCAGGTGAGTACGGCACTGTTGTCTCAAGTTCAATCCCTTCGTTTTAACACCAAGTTATCAGGTCATTATTCACATACTCTGTCCCGTTATCAACTCAGAATTTTTTCGGTTGATTGTGCCAGCGTTTTTTCAGGTACGTCGCGTATTGTTTAACCTTGGTGGATGCCTCATTTTTATGTTTCATGAACTCGACGCTGCTTCGTTGAGAGCAGTCGTCAATAAATGAGATATAATATTTCGACCCACCAACTGACTGTACCCTTGCTGGTCCCCACACATCACTGTGTGTGAGTTCTCCGAGTGATCCAGAACAACTGTCAGTATCGCGCGGAAATGAGTTGCGCATCTGTTTTGCAGCTTCAATCCTTGTGTCTGCATATATCCAGCTGTCATGGCAAAGTGAATTTATGTGCAGATCCTGCAAAGCTTACAACTCACCACACTCTCCCGCTGCCAGATGCTCCACCTGCTAAAAGAATCCATGCAGACATGCAGAACTGAGGGTCAAAAGGACATATTTCATCGATACTTAGCGTCTGCGGAAACCAGTGCCCTATGCTGTAGCTCCACATAAGCCTCTGCAAGTCAGTTAACTGGGACATCGCTGACTCGGTCACGCATACTTTCCACAACGTCGACATTGAATGGTCCTCATGCAGGTCCTGTAAAGACTGCCGTTCATCATACTCCGCTGCCGCCAGACCTGCTAAGAGAATCCATACAGAGGCAGAGGAGTGCAAGCACAAAGGGAAAATATAAATATAAAGAAAGCATTCAGGAAATGTCAGTACTAGTGTCATTGTATCACACTGAACGTTTACGTTTATATCATGAATCATAAATTTCAATATTTGTTCGAGCAAGCAAGGTCAAAATCGGCAACGCCGATCCCTAGTGACTTCAGATAGTGCCGCACCCTAGTAGTATGCCACCCACACTTGAAGCAGTGGCTGGGAAGGAGCCTGCGGCAACACTAGATGTACTGTTTCGAGCCTCTAGAGTTCAAAGTAGTGAGTTTTCAACTGTACCCTAATATCCACCATACTCACCGATCGGCGATAACTGACCCCTCATTTGGGCCTGGTGGATATCCACGGAACGCTAAAGCAGATACATCAGACTCCGAACGTGAAGACGAAGATGAGCCCCAAAAGAAAAAGGTAAAGTATCACGTTTCATATAAACGCCTATATCGACGCTGAGTAAGGAAGCAGAAAAACATGCTACTTCAGAGTACTACGACGTCAACGGCCCACACATTGACGACTCAGAGTTGAACATCGATAATTGCACTCATTTCGTTCAGGCAAAGCAACAGCGCTTTTACGTCTCCAGTGGCGAATTTGCTATTATGAAAGATAGGTATGTGAAATGTGATCAACATCTCCAATGTCCTCATTTCGTGTGCGCAGCCGGACACCCAAGAAACCTAATTCAAAAAAGGTTCTTGCTGATGGTGGTGCGACTGCTGGACCTAGCAAGACTGTTGCCCAGTTCAGTAGGCGAAGACAAGTCCAATAAGAAACGCAAGAACTATACAGTCATTGGGAAGTTGTCGATCTCATATGTCACCTAAACCACGTCATGTCTTGCGCTCACTCGCACCTAGCGCAACTTCCATCCTGAACTTCAATTGGCCATCGGGAACCTAAAGACTGCCATCTCCAAAGGTGCGCGCCTCCATATACCCTAGCTTATGGTCTGACGTTGTCATAGAATCATGGAACGTCAAGGGCAAGTTCCCCACCCTCTATCAAACCCATACTTGCAGACGTCGCGTTGAAGGCCGTCAACCTCAGCGAATACGATGAAGACTTTTCAATCTTATGCCGGTGCTGTTTCCTTATAACCGCTTCACTATGACTGTATGTCGTATCACCTACCCTCGAACGCGAGAGCTCACTGGATGGCGTCTGCCCACAGAAACCATCAAACGCACTATATTCGCAGACCACCTTAAGATCCTGACAGATAGACAGGACGAGCTGCTTCAGCAGCTTGCGGGGCTTACGAAAGACGGGTTTTCGAAAGCGCAGGAGGAGTGGGAGAAGAGTGTTGTTGCTTGGGGTGCATCACTTCTATCTTTCTTATCCAACCTTCTGTCATTCCTTTCGTTCATTCCTTTGTCTATTCTTGTATACTACTCGCGTTTACTTTATACAACATTTCGCTACTCGTATTCTTATCCACTACACCTCACCTCCAACGCCTTCCTCACCTCACCACTAACACCTCTCACACAGAACGCCACAAGGAAAAAGCAAGAACGAAACCGAAGCAGGCGCAGCATCAGCCTCGACGTCCATGAAGGTGATTGTGTGGCAGCTTGTGATGCTTAGTAATGAATGTTGTAGGCTTGAGAATGAGAAGAAGTGAGTACGAGTTCTTTCTTCTTTCCTTCTCTTCCCTTCTTTCATTGTTTTTGTGAGGATTTTGGAAGTGGTTACTGATGTGAATGAACAGTGAATTAGATGGGAGTAATGCGCTTGTTAGCGAACGGGGGTCGAGAAAGATTTTGTATCAGAAGGTGTGTTTTCTATTTTGATTGGTATGACGAGTGCTCATGCGGCGTTCCCCAGTGTATGGTTGAATTCTGGTCAGTTATCACGAGAAGGTGCGTTTTCCCACTCATGCTCTCTACTATATCTAAACTAGCGACAAACACAGTGAGCTCCCTAAAGAAGAAATACGAGAAAGAGACGATGGAGCAAGAGAGCTGAGCTGAAGACGGATTCTCTCGTTTATTTTATTCGGTCATATCATCTTTTAGTTATGAAGGGCGTACGTCTGTCTTGTCTGTGGTTGGTATATATTATTATTCGTCTCGCTGATTTTCGTCCCTGCTTATTTTGATCTCTCCCCCTTACTTTGCTTGGATCCTTACTTGACATTTGCTCCTGGTTTGGTTGGCTTGTCCCCCTCGAAGTACTTAGCTTAAGCTCTTACTATTTACAACACTATCCTCATTGTTTTTGCGCTTTGTGCCCGCCGTGGAGGTTAAACACCTTAGAAACGGCTTAGTAATAGGGTGCCTCCTCCTATCTGAACCACGTGCATGTTACGTTCGTCTCTGGGTTCCAATTGTATCAAACAAATGCAACCTCGCCCACAAACTTTGGAACGCGTATTGAGCGAAATCTGATTGATCTCTAGTTGAAACGTTGAACCACGCTGCCACTCGATGAAGCCAGACCATGGACCGAACAGGAGATAAGTCCAACGCCTATTTCGACATCCCCTGCAACTCCAAAGCCTTCTCTACGCTGCTCCTCAACGTCTCGACATTCGCCCCCCATCACCCTCAAGCGACCCGCGACCCTCTTGAACACCCTCGCGAATTCCCCAAGGGGGACGTTTATCATTCCTGCGTCGAGGGCACGTCGGTGGTCTAAGGAGGAGCGGCCTAGACTGTGCAGCCTGCGTGGACGAGGCGTTTGGCTATTGCGGAGCCCATTGCTCCTGCTGAGACGACGGCGATGGTTGACATTGGTATTTATCCCGACATCCGATATCGAAATGAACAATGTGTGTATTATGTTTAACAACTATTATGTAGGCCTGTGTTGACGACTTCGTCCGTCTAGCACACCCTGACCTTGTTGTGAGCAACGTCAGCAGAGTATTGATCGATTTCCTTCGGTAAGGTTATGATATCAGCTCTTACCTGGTCAATCTTAGCGTCCCCTTGGCAGCCACACCTTCCGGGACGTTTTTTTCAAGACAGACCCAAAGTATTTTCTTCTAGATTTTTTGCGAGAATATATGACCTTCGGGTTGGTCTTGCGGCCGTCCGTGCTGCTCTTGCTTCAAATTTGGCTGGTGATGATCTCAAGCTAAAAGCGAAGGATATGGGCTGCACAGATGCATTGGGCTGTATGCCCGGCCATCATAATATGATATCCCCTTTGACGATCTCATCCCTCGATACAGTGCATAAAACCGAAGAAGACGCCCGGCGGTACTTCGAGGACGTGGCGGAGCATCTTGGTGTCCTATCAGGTATGATAGAGAAGGAATTCGAACCGACGTGAGCACATTTATATATTGTCCTGGCATTTAGGTTAACTGCGAGGTTACAGTGCTCAAGAACTCGAGCTTCAACTCTCTTATGGACATATTGCTTTCGACTTGCTCAAATGCTACTTTGAGTGTGGTGTCAAGTACTATATTCTGCAGAAGGATGACTTGGTGAGTAATAATATATGATAGTAACTGTCTATTCAATCATGCTGTAGGCCGGATTCACGCTCAGTGACACATACCAAGACTCAACGTAAGTTGCATTGTATACGAAGGATCGGGGTTTCATCACTCGCCTACAGATTTTTTGGCCTAGATGGCGAGACAACGAGGTGGGACGGACACAAATACATCAACGAGAAAAATACTTTCTCAATTCCAAAATACGATGTTTGTATTTATTGCGCTTGCAATTCATGAGAGCTCACGATAGTTCAGGGAACGGTAGAACTGTCAAAGCTGTCTTGCAAAATCATGACAGACGACATACGCGCCAAGCTAATTGGTACAAGGCCTTACGCTTGTTGTCAGATGTACAGAAGTTCTGAACATCATCTTAGCCCGAGGGAATCTGTATAGATCATTTTCTGGTGGTTTCCATCACAAGTCTTGTATGTTTCACCCATTCTACGTTGCCATCGGACTGATAACTGTGCTTAGATAAAGTGTTAATCTTCTTTCCCTCTCTTTTCTAGAATGGCAACGAGCTTATCGATTTGACCCCATAGAGTCGAATCGTCATCGATGAGCGTGCATTCAATGAGAGCCAGGGCTATACATGTAACCCGTATGAGATCATTACTTTCGCTTCTAGAACATGTGTTAACATCGTCCCAGAGACGAGAAGATCCCTGACGTTCCTGAGGGGGGAACATGATCAACTTCCGGCTTTTGTGAATGGTTTCGAACTCAAGAGCAAAGTAAGCTGAACTCCTTTAGCGTGGCTCGGCTGACTCACGACGTGCCACAGCAATGGAAATCATTCCACGTTGAAAACATTGATGACATCAGGTTTGACGAGAAAACCTGGGACCACTTGGTTGTAGACGATGACGTTAAAGTAAGCAATAGTTCTCTGTACAATCGTACGGCCGCTGCTGATGGTCAAGCAGAGCCTGATCAGGGGACTTGTCGATGTTACTAAGAATGTCAACACATCGCAGCATCTTATATCGGACGTCATCACAGGTAAAGGTGGAGGTTTGGTAGGTTTTCCTGTGCAACTCAATGCTGTCAACCTGATGTTATTCTGCGTAAGATTGCGTTACTTAATGGGCCTCCTGGAACTGGAAAGACGCTTACAGCTGAAGCCGTCGCTAAACACCTCCAGAGGCCTTTGTACATCGTCAGCTCTCCGGAATTGTCAACAGAGCCTTCAAAGCTGGAATCTAAGGTGTCGGAGATATTGAAGGTACGTCCCATAATATGTACAATTGCCGCTGATCTTATAAGAATGCTCTACCAGTTGGCTACCGCATGGGACGCCGTAGTTCTTATCGACGAAGCTGGCGTGTTCTTGGAACAGAGGAGTCTACATGATGCACGGTTTGCAACTCATCATTAATTTCACGATGCGTTGCTCATTTTATTGTAGCTGGAATGCAACGCACTGGTTTCTGTTGCATTAAAGGTCTTTCAGTACCACCGCGGTGTGCTCTTCTTGACAACAAATCGCATTCAAACGTTTGATGACGCCTTTCTTTCGAGGTTCTCCATCGGTCCGTCCTCTATTTATATCACATCAATTTGAAATAAATTCAACCTAAATAGCGATCAAATATCCTGAGTTAGATGCCTCGGCCCGGCTTACGATCTGGCAAAAGTTCTTCGAGCTTGCTGGGTGTCCTTTGTGGGGCTCAGAGTCTGAAGAGTTCGTCGACGTCGACGGCAAAGAGCCACGCTGCTATGTTTCCCTCTCAGATTTGGAGGTATTGGCGCAAAAACCGTTCAATGGTCAGCATATCCTTGTCATCCTGCCTACCAGAATTAAATATAGTTTCCAGGACGCACCATCAAGAACCTTGTCCGGACCGCCCAGGCGTTAGCACTCTCTGCGTAAGCATTATTGGTCATGTGTTTGCTTGCCTGTTACTCATGAGAATACACAGGAAGGAACCGCTTTCCCTCGACCATATCAAGGTGGTTGTCCGCGCGCAAGAGAAATTTTTGACGGAGTTTGCGCAAATCCGCTCTTAGTTAGCATCTTGGCGCCCTTATCGATCGCATCAGTCCAAGTATAACCATGTCAATATTGTAACACCACCAAATGTATCCCGCAAGTTTTTTTGGGCAGACAACTTCTGGTATGAGAGAGGAGCATCGAGAGTATCAGCCAAGCCCCCATCTGCCTGCTTTTGACGAGAGCATCCACATTCCCCAGCATGCTCCCTAGTCTTTCTTCTCATCAATGGTCCGCACACCATCATGCCTGCTTGTGCGATCCACAGAAACAACGTAAGCCCCAAACAACTCAAGCGCCGACTTGAAGACTTACATTTTTTGCAGAGCTACGTCAGCAATACCTCCGTCAATATGAAGTAGAAAGTGTTATTCGGAAAGCCATTGACTCCCAACTAAAAAAGGCTCCACTTCGTCTAATCAACACCTCTACTGGACGTTTGTGCAATCGGGCTGTGCAGATCAACGCATTCGTGGAGAGTACAGAGTACGAAGAGCTTTTGACTTCATCGGACATACTTGGGCCCGTCCAAATGAAGCTCATCAAAGAAGCGGTTGCGAAGTACTTCAGTTGGGTCATGTTGTCCCATAGGTGGGGAGCCGGGGTTACACGACATTCAGGACAGGGACATATACGACTTGAATCCGGTCGGAAACATGGTAAAATTGCAGAAGTTCTGCAGAGTCGCACGCGATGCGGGGCATCGTTGGGCGTGGAGCGACACATGTTGCATCGACCAGAATATCAATGCTAAGCTCCAATAATCAGTCAATTCCATGTTTGTCTGGTATCGGGACTCAGCGCTCACCATTGTCTATCTATCGGATGTCGCGCCTTTGTCAAAGTCGGGCGGGCTCGCAAACAGCATTTGGAACACGCGAGGATGGACCGTTCAGGAGTTCATCGCTCCTAACATTCAGTGTGGTAGTGGTATGCGTTTTGTACCCATACTCAGTCACTTCCACTGACCCCATTGCAGCTCTTTTGTGCCTTCATCGCCTTTGGTGAGTATCATTTCCCACGTACATAAACCTTGCTTGACATGGATTTTGATTACAGTTTTCGGCTTGGGTTAGTGTGTATGATATCTAATTGAATCTTATTGACGAAAGTGCAGTTTCAGTAGTGCAATTGTAAGCGGATATTCTAAGAGTGATCCTGGATGCCGTCACTGACTCGTTCATGTTTCAGTTTCCAGCAAAGGCAGTTGTCGGCATTCGCTTTGCCTTCTATGGCAGTGAGTGTTTTGGTTGATCTATTGTATTGAGAGAATGTTCACCCGAAATCACAGGTTATCGCTGGCATCAGCCAAGGGCTTCGCAACAGTCGCGAACATCATCATTTTCATTGCGATGTATTGGTCACTGCGTTCAGCACGTTATCCAGACATGCCCCCGTCAGTGTTTCATGTTGTGAGATACAAGCAACTGCTGACGCATTGTTTTCAGGCATTAGGGAGTGTTTGAAAACTTTTCTATGCTGTTTGTTGGCCGTGGCCTGGGACTCATGTAGGTTTACTCCGTGTCGTCGGTCTTTGCAGCCTAACCATGTTTCTATTGGTCACTGTCATTCAGCTGGCGTATCTTGGCACAGTACGTGGATACCCAGTAAGCATAGTTCCGTAACTCATATGTATAGTTCGTTGCTTCGCCAGGGAAACCATACTGGGTAGCAGTCCAGATAGTCACACCCCAGGGGTGAGTTTCTGTCACCCACTCACCTCGCGCATAGGCTCATGGCAGATCATAGTTTACGCCAATACTGTCTTGGGACTGTAAGTCGTTCACCTAACACCTCATCAGACACCGTGTTCCTATTTTTTTCCTTAGCTTGAACGCCCGGGAAGTCAGACGCGGCGTTGGTCTCAACGAAGGAGAGACCTTGTCTGATCGACACGATTCCCGAGACGATGGTTTACCAAGCGCACTCCAATTCTGCAGCACGAAGGGGGTGAGTTACGCGCCTTAAGACTCTCTCGCACCTGCAGGTGACACACTGGGTGAATCTGCTGGGACCCGACCTCTTCATATCTTCAACAGGACGTCTACGGAAGATACGCAGATGCCTGCGGGAGCGCCTGCGCTCGCTCACACGTTCTTTCGGGAACATCCTGCTGTGTTCGCAGCGCCGAACAGCTTGATTCGCAGGATTGCAGGTATAACTTCGAACACCGACGACGTTGCAGGCAACGTCCTGGTTGTGAAACATGAGCAGGGGGAAGAAGCATGAGATGATGGACTGCGATGAAACGGACATACCATGGGTCAATGGTATCATGAAACAGTGAGCGCAAACGCCACGGAACGAAGCATGCACTGACAAATGGCAGGTCCTTGAAGCGTGGGAGATTCTAGTCTTGAACAAGTCGGAGGCAGATCGGGCGTCGAGTATACAATCGTTTGTAAAGGATGTGGCCATACTCTTTCTCCTGCACACAGTGCTCGCCTATCCTTTTCTGCCATTCCACGCGCGCTTCTCGAACGCCTTTCGTCGTCCTTTCATCCCAGCTCGAAAGTCGTCAAAGGGCGTACGTATCAAGTTTCTTTATCTTTTCAACCATTCTAACATCAACACTCTAGAGCGGTGCTACAAGACGTCCACCTATTCAAGCCCGTCGAATATCGCCAGGCTTTTTCGATGGCGTCCAGATGAGTCGTCCACATTTTTTGACCAGTTCTTTTTCTCACCTCTACTCTTAGTCTTCTGCAGCACGAGGTACCCATACTCTTTCTCCTGCACACAGTGCTTGCCTATCACCTCCCATTCCACGCGCGCTTCTCGAACGCCTTTCGTCGTTCTTTCACCACTCTCACTTCAATGCCAATGGAGCACCCAAACTCCATCAATGCCCAAGCCGCTCTATCTTTTCTCGCGGTCATTGTATTGTCGAAGTTGCTACAGTACAGGACAGAAAGGTATTTCTTTCTTTTCGTCCATTTCCGATCATGATGGCACAATGATTTCTGTCCAGGCATTGTATGTTGCTCCGCGGCCGCAGCAGCAAAGCCAGTCGCATGTCCAGGCCCTGTCGCAATCTCAGCCTACTGCCACCGCCTCCTCCATGTCCACCACACCTGTCCAAGGTACTTGCGCTGCTGCACAGTCACCACCCATCCCATTGTTGACTTGTTTTGTGTTGTTTATCTGCTGCGCATCTCCCTCATCAATATAAGAGCAGGATATGTACAATTATTTTATTTTTTATGGCTTTCGCTATTCCATCAATTATGTTTCCTTGTTGTAAGACTTGTGCAATGCATTGAACTCGATCATGCTAACAGTCGTGACAAAAACATCACACTTATCTCCAAGCTTAAAGGCCTGGCGTGTGACAGGCATGTAGAGAAGCAGCATGTGAATGCAAAGTGAAGGATGAAACTTCAAAGGGTGGAACTGCCACATGTTGGGCAACTCTGTCGTTGTAAAATATTTTCCTCAGGCTCTTTTGGTGTCTCACTTTGCAGATCATTCTTTGCACCCCATCAAACATGCTTCAGCTACCTGACCTGCACATTCCTGACAATGCACAGCTTGTCCTCAGTGCTGTGGCTTGTCTTGGTGTTGTAAGAGTACTCCCTAGGGCTTACCCAGGCACATATGGGCACATTTTGCACCTTTTCACAACTCATGACAATTGGCCTTCAATGCACGACTTGCGCCATCAGCTATATTCGACTTCTATCATGTCTCTAGTTGTTTTACACATAACGCGCAGCTTTCTCGCGAAACGCGCCATAGGCGCGGTACTTTCCTGCACAACACGCAGCATTCCCACATGCACACCTTGTTGCCGTGCATCCAGGAACGTCCCTCTATGTCCACCCACCTCATTGGTACGTCATATCCCTTGCCTTGTGGTTTGTAACAAGCATTGCAGCACTATTACATGTCATTATGTATTCATAGCGCTTATTGCTCCTATCCCTTCCACTTCCAATGTGATTTCCATAGTATAAAGTTTGCTGACTTACTACACCATCATTATTACTCCCCTTTGCTGTACTTCCCTCGCTATTGGGTTTTACTCTAAAGTAGTAGTCACCACTTGGGCGCACTTTGTGTTTCCAATGGTTATCGTTATCCGCCTATACTAGACCTTTATCCGCACTCATTATAACACTCGCTCTGAGTTTGCACTCGCTTTGCACATCCACTTCCTTATCCTTTTCCTTCTCCGGTATTTTCCGCTCACATTCCCACGCTCGTGCTTACCTTAGTGCGCTCTCTCATGCTTCGCACTCACTTCACTTTTCTTCTTGCGCTTTCACGCATCCATCGCACTTCAAGGGTCTTTCTTTCATCTGGTTCTGTGTTCAGTAGCAGTCCCCTTTAGGGTCGAACGTTCTTGCATTCTGCGAGTATAGCAGCTAGGCAGAGCCAAGACTCACTTATACTGGTTGAGCATTTTTAGATATTTCATATCAGCCCAGCCAGGTTGAGATCACCTCACCATCATAAAGCAGAGGGCTACCTTCCTCACCTATCTTCCCCTCCCTCTTAGAGGCTTTGGGAGCACTTCCTGCAGCATCACCAGTAAACTTTTGAATTCAACCTGTTGTCTTTTGAACACTGATTGTGTCCTATCACCAATAAGTCCATCCCTCACTATAGCAAGATGGGTTGACAAGTACAGTCCTCTGATCACCACGGTCAAGATTTGAGAACATTGTTATTATTGGCTGTTACAAGGTCAGTCCCTACATGCTGAGTGTCATATTTGGGATCAATGTTCTATCATGAAGAACCAGGGTAAATTCAAGTTGACAGCCAATCGTCCTCACATGAATGCTGCTGATATTTGAACAACTGATATTAAACACCTATGTACAGTGCAAATGAATGGCGCAGGGGACCAGTGTTGATACAAGAATTGGACTGAGGGGGGAGAACAGAGTAGAATCTGGGGTAAATATGTACAGGATGACAAGTGGACAGGCAATGAGAATATGAAGACTAAAAGCTAAGAATGAAAAGTTGTGTTCATATGTTGGTCCCACCCATTGCGGTCCTTGATCCATGATACTGAGCGTGCATCAGAATGGAATACTAGTGAGCCTCTACAGCCAGAATAGGGAAGGTTGAAGTGGGTGATTCTGGAAGAAGGGAATGCAAAAAAATCACCAGGCATGATGTTTAAAACCAAACCTGTCTCATACTCAACAAACTCTCCTCCAGTGAAGTTGCCAAATGGAATGACAACACACAGGGTGTCATCAGCCTTGTCCAGGTGTCCCATGGTGGTGCAGTTGAGGTTCAGCACAAACCCAGTAAAGGGTGCAGAAAAAATATTCTCATCTAAAGGCATGATAGAGCATGCTAGATTTAGATGAGAATAGGTATCAGGGAGATACTTCTCAATAGCCTGGGCAACTATGGAGCAAATATCCTGAAGAATGTTTGTGATGGAAGAGTACTGGTCTGGGTTGAGGTGGATGGTGTTGGATGGATATGGCAGGCGCTGAGTATGATTTACTCTAGCAACTCCAGCTTTTTTGATAAGGTCAGGATGAGTGAAGGTGGGTGCCCCATGGCCCTATAATTCCTATAAGATAGCACTACATAAGTGAAAAAGGATAGCGTACCTTCTCAGCAAATCTGATATAGTGATCAAAGTGTATTGTTGTGAAAGGCTTATCAGAAGATTCCATACGATCCATGTGGTTTGGCATTTCAACCTTGAGATAGTCCTGGAGTGCCTCAAGCCTCTTCTTGATAATAGGATTCTGTGAAATCAACAAGCCCAGGAACTCTTTGTTCTTGTCAATGAACTTTATGTCATGACTTTTGTGAGGGAAGTGAGTAAATATATGAGAATAGAGACATACTATGGCTTACCCTTCAAAAGATTCATGAGCAAGATATATATATTTCATGTCCTCTTTGACACCATCACCAAAAAGTTCATTCATCTAAATTAAATACTTCAGTAGGATAGTAAATAGTGATGTTAAATTTTACTTACCTTGGGCTGGATATCAGATAGAGTAGTGATAGGAACTGCATTTGATGCCCTCTCTCTCTCCTGGGCAGTCCATTGGACTTTGTTTGTTTTATTGACAGGAGAAGTAGCAAAGTTCTGCATGTAGAGTGGAGATGTTATTGTGTGAAGTGGGCGGTCAGCCATTTCAGCATAGGAGTCAACAATAAGGGAGGGGGGGGGCCTTCAACTGGAAAAGAAACTAAAGGATCCCAAATAGGCTCCCTGCATGGTAGCTTGAATGTGCTAAAGAATATATGCTCTTTAGATATCTCTAATTAAAAGAGATTATAAAACTTACTTGAATGGAAGCCTAGATAATGCTATTTCACACTGAGAAAAATCTCCAAAAGATAAGGTGAGATCTTCATCACTACCACCTACACCCTTGATGAAGATTGGACAGCTAATGGGTTTGGATGCACATAAAATGTGAATATCCCGTAAAAGCTCTACAATTCTTGTCACGTGGTTGACAGTTCCATCTTCCGTGGCAAAAACTAGTCAAGATCAGTGTTAGCTAAGGAAATGGAAATACACACACATACCTTTAGGTGAACAAAGAATATTACAGAAGGAAGATATCTTTCTGTGAGTAACCTTGGTTCTATAGGTCAGATAACTAGTCATATCTGATACTGCTATGAGAAGCAATATATATGGAGTGCCTGGTACACTTGAGCATATAAGACTAAAGAAAAGAATAATATCACTCACCTGCACATGCAATGAAAGCTAAGCGACTTCCACGCTTGGCAAACTCAGCTACAGTGCCTGCACTTACACCTGCTTCTCTATCTAGATGTGCATATGGAATGTTTTTTGCCTTTAATTCTGTGCAAATGTTAACAATCAAACAAGCAAAGTAAAAAGAGCTTACTTTGCAAGATGAAAGGCTAGTTTGATATAGTCCACCATAGACATGAATGAAACATAATGGCTAGAGTCCTCATTAGACCTGCACTTCTGAATTAGAGCATGCAGGCCAAGATCCCCACTATTGGCTGAAACAAAGGTAGCAGGGGCCTGAATCCTCTCCAGAAGATTTAGGATACTTCTGATATGTCCCGAGGAGGAAAGATTTGCCAGCTCTGCAATCTTGGTTAAAATGTCAGACTCTGGGGTGGGTGGGTGACAAGAAGTCCACTGGACCACACCAGCAGGATCCCTGGCTGCCACTGCTTCCTCCTCCTCCTCCTCCTCCTCCTCCTCCTCCTCCTCCTCCTCCTCCTCCTCTTTCTCCTCCTCCTCCTCCTCCTCCTCCTCCCCCCACTCCCTCCTCCCCCTCCTCCCCCTCTTCCTCCTCCTCTGCCAAGTAATGCTCTACTGCTGCCCCAGGTAGTCTTTTTTTAGGAGGTCCTTCAAAGTAATTGAGCTTCTCCCCATCTCTGCAACAGATCTTGTGCTTGGAACCAGCATGCTTGAATTGTAGCACTGGAGAAGGTTCAAAATCTGAAGACAGAATCTATGAGTTCTATGTGAATGATTAGTTCTAAATAATAGCTCACCTGCAGGTTGAGGACGTTTCTTAGCCCTCCTATTCAAATCAGGAGTTGGATTGGCACTTTCAAGCTGTTTGAGGAGGTACTGGAGGCCATAGGGTTCTGGGTGATCTTTTATGATATTTGGTAGCTGCTGTCCTAGCAAGTGCCTGATATCTTCAGGGATGTCAATGGAATACATTGTGTTGTATTGAGAGCAGTGTTAAGATTGTATTGAGAGGCTAGAGCAGCTTTAAGATGATAGAAAATTGCAACTGGTTCAATTGATGACTCAGCAATTTGAGCGTTCACGCACTTTGTTAGTGCCAACTTTGTATTGTCAGGCATCACACACTTAGCTGCACAGATTCATTAACTTTCTTTCCTTCCCTTTAGAACAGACCTTCATGATGTTTTTCAATGTCTATTAATTTCATATACTGTGTTTGTGTGGTATAACAAGATCATCTATTGACTACAAGCCTTATCATACACACAACAAGCGAACAGCTTGCCTACAGACAGACGGACTTTGCATTCACTTTACTACAATAGTAACAAAGCATAAACAACATTCGCAGTCTGTCTCTCCTCATCTGCCTCTGACCACAACGTCTGAATGCAACAGACACAGTCACCTGCCTTGGTACACGAAAGTGAAGAACGATATGAGCGACACCAAAATAGGAGCGGAGGTCCACATCGTGGAAAACATCACCGAGTTGATTCGAGCTAGTGAAACGGCCTGTCAGTCAACTTCCAAAAAAACGACGATGCGGCAATTTACCCTTCACCATCCAATTCATCTCCACCCCTCGTGCATCCATGGTCCGTTTAATCCAGTGGTCCTCCCATGCGAAGAACTTGATGAATTTGACAGCACTGATGAGCTCGTTAAGGACAGCCATGCGTTTATCTCGGGAAGCAGAGACACCCTTCTGAATGCGAATGCTGCGTTTAGTAACAAAGCTGTTCAGGGGCCAGCCAGCGAGAAGAACGACAAAGCCCGCAAATACAGATAGTCCCAGAAGACTGTAAATAGATGGTGGGATGTATGAATTGATTGACACGAGTGGACTTCCTCACTTGTATAGGAAGGTCGTAGCGATAATAATCTCGAACGGAGCTATCAACAGCAATAAAATCAATTATAATACAAGGGAGGTCAAATACAACTGACTTCCGTAGATGAAATATGCGCCAGATACCATCATGGCAATCCTGTTTGCATCTACAGCCATTAGATTGACGATTTTCCAACATCCGCGCCAGCCTTGGGGTCATCCGCAGTCGGATTCTCAACAGGCTTGATCCCCGCTTTTTTGTCGGCAGCCTCCTTGGCTTTGTCCATGTCGATAATGCCTGAGTAGTCCTGACGCTTGAGAGCTTTGTCGTAGATGGCAGCCCTCAGCTCTACACGCATCCTTGTCGCTGCTCGGTGCACACAGCAACACGAACTCACCGGAATTTGACTTCCCCAGCCGTGGGCCACTCAGAGGCAGGTTTATCCCCGGGGATCTCATAAGGAGCTTCTGGCTCAAGGTGTTTCGCATAGTGGATGATACTTTCAACGCCAACCGCGTTCTGTTCTACTTCACTTGTGGAGCGGACGAACCGGTTCTGCGGCCGCTTAGTTGCCAATTTGGAACAGAGAGAAAGCCACCTACCAGTGAACTTGTCGTGTTCAAAGCATACGACAGAACTAGACCGACCAAACCCGCATCAACGCCGCTGGTCACAACGGCAGAGACAGCCAAAGTAGCTGTGACGGAGAGAATTACTGCTCCGACAAACTCCAATCTTATTGCAAGCCAACGGTTTATGTCAGTACTAGGGAGGTAGCACAACTGGTTGCGATCAATGCGGCGCGTATTGTTCACAATGAGCCTGATGCGGCCGAAACAACATAGTCTGTAGATAATTTGAAAAGTTAACAATGAAATGCGAAAGCAAAAGAGGGGGGGATAAAAACGCACCAGAACATTCATATATATTAGAATGAGTGATTGGGTTTGAAAACGGATTGGTGGTCATAGGTCCGGATAGTGGAAAGTCCAGTCAAGGATTCCGAGAATCACGTAAAGATGGGTGAGCGAAACACCGCATCTAGGCGCTTGAGTTCACGCGACGTCGCGAGATAGTACCTATCAAGAGTGTCAGGATGATTCTGAAAGAAGAATAAGTTAAGTTACTGATACGACGTACCTGCGAAGCATGATGCGAGTCTAGGGTTAGGGCTTATCCATATATGGGAATCCGTCCCAGGACGGACCCTAACCCTAAAATCAGTCTCCAAATGAATCAAAGATAAGCACACAACACATAGGCAATTGTAACGTACCTTGATGAAGAGTAGAAGATGAACAGTTACTGAATCTTGATCACATGAGTGCTGCCCTCGCGTCCCGAATGTCGCCTTTTTCGCGGAGGGCGATACCCTTGGAGATATAGCCTGTTAACGAGGGCTGAATACTGATTGACTATGTCACCGTCGAGTTAGCTTTTCGTAAGGGGCCAGGATCAGTGTATAACTCACCTTAATTGCATCCTTAAGAGCACGGTCCCAGTCCTGTGTTCGGGCCATAACGAAGGAATGATTGGCATAGGAAGTATGGTTGTTGGCACCGGTGTCGATCTCTTGCATGGGTAGTTGTTCGGCGGTAGACAAGTCTCCATCTATACATGCATCGTGGGCTGTCATGTTGGCTAGGATCTGCACGAAACATGCTCGAGTTTTGGTATATGAGTTAAGGACAGAAACGTGCCTTTGAATTAGTATTGTTGGGTACTGCCCACTCTGAGATTATAGTCATATTGCTTGTGCATCTAACCGCCGCGTGAAGAGATGCGAGAACTCGTTGAACTCGCGAAACTTCCACTGCGCAAAGGGTGTGTACCGCCGACTGCCAATTGATGACGGATTTTTGTGGTATTCCTGCAGCATGTTAAGCGACATCGTGAGTTATAGCAGGAGTGACGCACATCGAAATAGTGGAAAAAATGAATATGATCATGTAGAGATAAATGGTGCAAAGATAGCGTTCAAGATACCCATAAAAATGAGGCGTCGACGAAGCCTAAATCACACCAGCGTAAATTCCTCGCGCTTAGCTGAGGAAAATGCGTACCCTTCAATTAAGATGGCTCTGTTCTTGGTATTTAAGAACACCTTCCTGACGCCTCCTTGAGGGTCAAACAGGTACTCCATCAAACAAAACCGCAAATTCCACTCCAACACCCTCGTTAACGTCCGCCCCTTGCCGTCATCACTTTGCCTCAATATTTGTTTAAGTCTGGGAGGAAGTGGCACGCGAAGATCAAGCAAGTCCTTATTAAACAGTGCGATGAGGTGGTTCTCTTGCCGCATGACACGATTCGCAATATGAGAGAAGCAGTTGCTGGCGTTGCGGCATTAGTGCCATGCGCTGAAGATATGACTGTTATGGGGTTTTCTTCTCGTATTGCGCCTATCCTGCGCACGATTCGGGCCAAGCAATGGTAGATATGTCGGCCTATATGCGTACCGTATGAACACCAGGACAAGGGTGAAGATTGAAATGCACGTACATCTGGGACGCGTAGGGGGTAGTGTAGAATTATACATGTTTACCAAGCGCATGACAAAAGATATACTTTGCCAGACATAGAACGCAGCAAAAAGCAGAAAGCAGAGTAGCGTAAATCCAGAGAACCTATGTTATGCGCGTTAGTACGTCGTAATTATAACTGTCTTGGAAGCAAATACGCACTTTAATCAGTGGCCGACCACCACGTCCGACAGCCAAGTAGTTGCATCCTCACGAATACGGCTGTAATCGACACACCCAAGTAGGAATGGCAAAAAATCCAATTACGAATCCTATTGCACTACGCACCAACAGTCAGCAATTTAGTTCGGAACGCACAAAGAAGCACTGACAGGAGATTGAGCCCTCTTGCCAACGCTATGGAATAAATCCCTTTGCCATCATAGTACAGATACACCTCCTGCAGAAATGCGTCCAGGTTATAGACGTTGACCCAGTTTCAGAGCGCACGTTCATAGTCGTCCAACCCACACATAGGCTTGGGTGATGGTTGTGGCCGCTGATGTGGTGGTGTCTGCGGAAGTTCGTCGACGTCTAGTTCTGACGGTCTAGGGGGTGTTGAAATCACAGGAAGAGTATCAATAGAAGGCGCTGTTGCATGTGGAAGCGATCGTGCGGGTGTGGAATAAAGTGGTTGTAAGCGGCCTTTGCCCTTAGAGGGGCAGCCAGACGCCGACGAATCCTCTATCATGAAGCGCTGAGGGACATCATCATCCGATTCCTGTTCGTACATTTTGTCCTCTTTTCATATGTTAGGGCCGTAGCATGTTCATCTCGGAGCCCTGGCCGTCCCACGATACTCTGTGTTTTCCGTATGACTTGGTGCTCTTTCCCTGTGATCGCGTGCCCTGCTTCTAGATCTTCCTCGGCGGTTTCGTTCTCGTTTTCCTCGACTACGAGATGGTTGGCTTGAAAATAACCTTGGTGTGTACGGCTCATTGGATTAAACATGTTGAGGAAGGGACGTGAACTAGACATCATGAGACATCCTGGCGGATATACGGACTGTGAGCCATGCAGATTTGTTCTGGAAGACGTTGAGGGGTGAGTTGAGGGTGGAGACAACATTCGGAGGACCAATCACCTATAAATTACGGCTTTTAGTCGTTCAGACTAAGTTCATGGACAGAATATGGCAGAATATTGGTGTCGTCGGTGTTCGTACTGCCAGACAGCGTAAATTTTGTCCATTGTCACACAGACTAGTGGCGTCACGGTGTGACCATGACCTCCTCCGCTTCATCAGCATAAAGCTATGAAATTGCATGCAGTGACGAGTCATCCAAGTCTGATATTATACATCCAGGTAATTTATGCAAATATCCTATTCGTGCTCAATACAGCTTATGCCTTTTTCGCAACTACATCTAGCCTGCTCGCCGCTCTCAACGCAGGCCTGATGCCAGATACAGTGATGACGGTGTCGCTGCCCAATCCCCAAGCAGCTTCTTTTTTTTGTCCAACTGACGCTTAAGGGCTGGGAACAACTGGTGAAATTCCTGCGACTCGATCACCGGCCTACAAAAACAATAAAGTTGTATGTAGACATAAACATAAGAACCGCTGCACACACCATGGGATCATATTCAACTGTCCAGCGTGGAGGCGAGAAATGAAGTTTGCGTCTTGTTCGTTCTGGACAATCTTCTGACACTTGATGGCGAACCTGAGTGACGATCTGAGTATGTGTTCATGTGGACACCATCTGGAGCATACTTTCGAGTAATTGCTGCTTTGTCCGAATCGACGACATCCTAAAAGTCGAGTCAATGTCAAGCGTAACCAAATGTACAATACTCCTCTTTATTAGAGAAGTCAAAAGCAGTGGCTGATTCAGGGGAAGATCCGGAATTTCGAGCGGGACGCCATTCGAAGGTACTCTAGTAATAGGCGGTCAAGGTCAATTCAGAGCCACGCACATGAGTGACGATCAAACAAGAACCATCTGGAGTAGAGTAAACTGCCTTAGGGATCTGAATGAGATCAAGTGTTGCAGGTCTGTCATACGCATATTAGCAGTCATCATTTACTGCAAGTTGAGTTCCTACCTAAACTGCATCGTTGTCAGGGAGTATATTCTGGCTTGTGCCAATGAATCGACTAGCAGTAGCTCTTCGCTACCACAGATAAAGCACGCATGAATGATAGAGACTCTTTCGCCATACCACTGAGTTAAGTTGATCGCGCTGCCAGAAGCCTGAAAATCACGGGTGCTGTAGTGAACAAATATGTGCAACAAAAGCTGACAGCGTGTTCGTTAGACCCGTCTAGAAAATTGCTTGTGAAACCAACCCTCTCTCTAGCGACGACACTGAGCAATCGTTTTGACTCATCAAATGCGAGAATAAATTCGCCGATTTTATCGCGATTCAGCTTTTTCCCGCGGCCCCAATGAGTCAAGGCGCCTTCAATCGCGTGGAGGCTTTCCAGAAAACAATATTGGGTTCGCATACCGATCAGTTGTTGCAAGTAAGATCTTATCGCCTGAAAGAAGTTGCGCTCTCCTAAACCAAGAGCGTCAATTCATTGAAGGACCACAATGTCAAAAGCACTGACACAACCGAATCCCCAAGAGGCAACTTGAACGAGTACGCTTGCCTCCCAGTGAACTTCGGAGAAGGAATCATGGTAGGGTCCATTTTCAAGGAATGTTGATCGCGTTCCATCAACTACATGAGATGGATAGAGAATTCACAGACAGGATCCTGGAAATGTCCCCTTCGGCCAGAGATGAACATCTGTGCTGTTATCGTCAAAGTGGGTATGCACGAGGATAGCTGGACTTACATTGGTAATGTCTTCGTGTCTCTTCGACAGAATTGATGACGAAAGTGTAACTATCAACTTGAGATGAAAGCGAAGCAAAAGAAGTGCGGAACCACTAACATATGATGCCCTGTCTTCGAAAGATCATCGATTTCACGGATAAACGCCCTCCGCAACTCAGTAAGTTGCTCCTCTTCATTACTGGCAGCTTCTCTCTGAACCTGAAGTAGACATTGATCGGTTTGTATGCGCAGTGCAGAATGCACCAAAACTCCAGTTTGCTTTGTCAAGTGTGATCTCAAGTGATCCAGAGCGGCTGTCCTAGTTTTCTTCCACGATTTTTGCGAAGATATGGGGCATTTCGACACTATCCAACTCCGTGAGGAACTGAGCATCGCTGATGGCATCGGCGTCCGCCTCTTTAATATTTTACCAAAGGTACGCGGATCCAGGTCAGGCAAGACGACGGAACTGGATTCATTACAGAGAGTGTTTACCAAGTTCTTGGGCCTCTCATGCGGAATGTTCCCCTTGCTGATCGATTTGAAGGTTTCTTTAATGTGAGGCATGGCCTCGCAGGGAATGACATGATGAAGCTTTCACGGGCTTCCTTTGGCATACTTCGCGCTGGATTACGTTCCTGTTCATTTCCAGTGGGGTGCAGAGGGGATCAACAGCAGAGGTACTTGAAAAATGATGTCAGCGGTACACGAGGACCCATCATGAGTGTAACTCACACGCGGTCATGAACCCTTGAGTCGTCTCACCATACAACAACTCAGGCTTCAGCAATTTGACATTCACTGTTGCCTCTGGGTGAGACTGCGACATGGTTATATGTCTGGACGTAGCATATAGTAAGCGGCTCTGAGTACTCAGCCACTCTTCGATAAACCGAACTAACCTTGAATCCCGGGCATGACTTGACTGCCTCCTGCTCATTTGTTTTCGCGACTTCGAACGTGAACAGCCTACTAGACTCATCATGGTCTTCGCCTTCCTGGTCATTCCATACGATCGAACGAGCATGCTCTGGGGAAATGAGTGCTGTGACTTGATCACACATTTTCATGAGGTATCTGGCATTTTTCGTTAGGAGCAGTGTCTAAACTAATGCGTCTCACAGACGAAGGAGCTGAGTCATCCCAGGTCGAATCCTCCGGCCAGTAGATGAGGAAAAGCTGTTGGTCGGGTGTAGCCTCGCAAACTGCATGAACAATGTACAGTCCAGAACGAAGACTCGGCATTGAAACGTGGGAGTCACTTTGGTTCGTGATGAGTTGTTTTGCGCTACAGAAATACAATTTATCAAAGTGTCGTTCTGACGACTGGTACTGAACTCACAATTCTTCGTCGACGACACCCAGAGATGACAGGAGTCGCACAATTTCACTCTTACTTCCGTACACGCCAACAGGCTTCACGATGAAGCGGTCTAGCGCGCTAAAGTTTACTTTCGTCATGGACACATATGTGCCCGGACAAACACTGTTGATAAATGCACGGAGTGAATCCTGCGTTATAATAACTTTGTCCACTAAAACTAAAAGTCAGCGAAGACAAGGCTTGTCAAGGACAGTGAAGATACCTAGCCCACCACTCCCTTGTTCACTGATCAAATCCAGGACCCGATACATCCCATTGATCGACTGGACAAGGTCGCGAGCATCACTATGCGGAGAGGAATCTTCGATGTCCATCTGAATCAGAACGTGAGAACTCCAGCCCACATCATGATGACCGCAAGCTGGAAGTGGACCTACAAAGTCTTCTGCATTATTAGATCTTACTGATTGTTAGAGGTAGGTCGTCGTCTTCCGAATCCTCAGACATGTGGGTAGAGTCTGTTGTATCACCTTTCAACGCTGAGAGTGCTTGTGATGTTAAGAACTCATCGTCATCGTCCATCTCGTCGATCGCGATTGATGGTGCAGATGCACGGGAACATGAGCCCTGGGCAAAATGATTCCAACTGCTATCGCCAACAGACTGGTCGATCTGTGCAGATTATGAACGATAACTTCCCTGTATATCACGGTGGAGTCCACTAACCGACTCCTTTCCCTTTGTCTATCCTCTGTTTCTTGAAGGGCTGTACACCTTGACTGGCACCGTGACTGTCTGGGGGCAACATTTGTGGTGGTACCGTACGATCCGTCCATGATGGTAGGTGAATGTGAAGAACAGAGAACCTGGTATCGCCCCACTAATTTATAGTTGTTGTTGCCTTGGTCTAGGGTTAGTTAACGCCTAGCCTAGCCTCAGGCCTCAGCGCTGCAGCCACCGACCGCGAGGCATACTAGTAGTTAATTAGCTCATTGAATTTGTACCAACAAATTGAATACAGGTTACGCAATTTGCCTCAAGCGCACATTCTGCCTACTGTGCACGGCCTTTGGAAGTTCTGAGTCCGGTTCTAAAGGAGAAGACTAGATCATATCAGTTTTCACCGCTAGCTGGAGAAGTACAAAGGACTTACGAGTCGCGTCCCGTTTAGAGTTTGCCTAAGGTTAGGGTTAGATAGGCAACTTCGTCATGGCAAGGGGTAAAACGGTCCCTTGCCATGACCAATTTTCCCGACGAACGTGGTCGTTCGGAACATTTGTCGTCCGTTGTTGTTGTTGTCGTGTTGCAATATTAGTGTTCTGCTAGTACTTTGTTTGTTCTCCAAGTCTCTTTCGCGTGCTGCAAAACTCGCTCTCTCGTCCCACACCACCAACAGCAACAACGAGCTACACGTTCGCAGACCGTTCCAACACAATCGACGGTTTCCAGATGCGTCAGTAAACCGCCAAGGGAGTTCAGCTGAAGTTCTGGATCGAGGAGGCCAATTGAGCCGTGAGGAAGAAGGCCTTGACGAAGACTGGCACTGTGTACACCTTCAGAACGAAGCGCGCCGAGTTCTACGCCCTTGACCTTGCAGCTACCCTCGAGAAACCTGCGTCACACCCGCGGACATGACGTCCAGAAACCGCGGTTCACCTATCTGCGGGAGCTCTGAGGCTACGATGTCAGCCCTCGTATTAAGGAAGGCGACTTTTTCACGGGTTCAGCACTCGCCTCGGCGCTGACGAAGCTCGTCTTGAGGTTCGATGAACTTACAAACGACCAGCGAAAGGCTAGCGCCCTCCGTGCTGAGGTACGTACTACTGTTAATGTTTCTATAGCATTCACCGACGCCTACCCAGTTCATGTTAATCGTGACGTCTATCATCTGCGTCGACCAGTCGAAGTTTGTCACGGTACCGATTGACAAGGATTCTCGGCCTGCTGCAGCTATGCAATTGCGCCTTCAACTCACTCTCCTTGCGCAAATTAGATACAAAAAACTGTGGGACTCGATGTCTCATATGAGGTACCAGACTCATCTCTTCAACATCTCCCTCCTGCAACCTTCTCCCTCCAGGCGCCTCTTCAATGTCAATGCTCGATGTTGCTCCAACCTCCCTGCAACTTTCTGTCTGACCTTGCACATTCCATGCCGGCACCTTACCGCCCTCCTTTACCTCTACCCCCGCATCTCTATAAAAGTCCTCCCCCTCCCCACTAGTTAAAGCTCATGAAGCCACTTTCGGGACACGTGACATCTGGAGCATCCACCGTCCAAAATGCATCAGCGGGTCTCGAGGCTGCATATGATTTCCAGGATACATATCTTCAACTACTCAGGATATTCAATAATGTTATCGGGACGCTCGCGGACGTATGGACCATATCTCTCGATGAAACTGAACTAATCCTGTTCCATAGGTACATCCATATGCAAAGATGGCGCTGGGCATGTTGTCTTGGGCCGCAAAAGTATGTTTGGTTTTGCTCTTATTCGTATCTATATCTCAGTCATTATGTGTGCAGGTAATTCTCGTTCAAGCAGATCGCGATACAGCGATACTCGACCTTCTCCAGAAGTCGTGTGACGTTTACACCTTCATTACAGAAGACAAGAGACTTCACCAGATTTCGTCGATGCACACTATCCTGGGACAGATTTCTGAGCAGACCCTTGAATGTGCTCATTTTATCAGAGATTATTTGGAGACCAAGAACTTTTGTGAGTCTTTGCAAGTCACTGCGCTTTTCAGAGTCTCATGCATAATGACTGTTGTTGACAAAACCACTGTGCACCCAGCTAATCTCACTGACCTCGTCCTCTTCGCCCGCTAAGGTCTCACAGGCGCTCTCATCCATGACATGGGCAAGTTGTAGCTGGTATCTTCGATCTTTGTCCTCACACCTCCGGTATAGTCCATCTTTCTATGGCTGTCATACTGGCTAACTATACATATTATACCATCAGTTTGGAAAGTGCTACGAACGTGAGCGCCACCGGTGAGCTAGGTCCTCATAACATGTACCCCCTAATGCTATGGGACAATGCACTGAACGCGGAAAAGGTGCAATGTCAGTCACCATTTCATATTCTATGCTCATTTGGTGATATGCAGGTCATCGAACTCAACCCCTCGTCTTACTTTGTATGACAGTTGACGCACGCAGGACTTCATGGCGCACACCAATTTAATGAAGCCATCGAGGCGTTCAAAATCATACTCTTCAAGTGCTCCTGACATGGAAACAACATGAACGCCCAAATAGCACATATTTCAACGTTGTTGACTCTTTTCAGACTTACGCCAACAGTACGCTATCCAAAGTAGAAGGCGTTATGGATTTCTTCATCTCTTTTTTTACAATCCTTAGACCGCGTTAATCATTCCCAGATGGCATGTTGAGCTTGATTTGAGTCGCATGGCACATGGGGCACGCTGTCAGCACTGCTACGAGGATTGAGTCTCCTGCCTTTTTCCGTTCCTTGCAGCTAATCAATTTGATCCTTGCAGCTATTGATTACAATGATCTCATTCTAGTGAATTGATTTGCGGATATGGTGTCAGGGACATTTCATTGAGTATGATATCGAGTGTGTAGTTAATTCATCGTCTATTCTATGCAACGCTCCACCTGACGTCCTTGCTAATTAAGGCCAGGGTACGCATTCCCCGACGCATCTCACGTTTTATTCATTGCACATCACCACGTCCCCCAGCAACCCACGTTCATTCACCTCTGAAAACTTCTTCGCTTCTCTCCTCGCTCGAACGCAGTACGCCCTGTTTGGAGCGATCAACCTCGTGATCCTCAGATGTATGCTTGGAGGTGCCGGTCCTGGGATGCTTGCTCGCGAGTATCAACAACTTATAAGCTCCATTATCGATCTCTTAATTCTCACTCTTCTCCTCCCCGTCCTCGTCGCACCCACCGAACGAGATATTCGCATCATCAATTAATGTCGCGATCCCTTTCTACGCCGCCGCCGCATCCTCTTACTCCACAACGTCACTATCAATTACTCCCAAACCACGACACGTCAAGTTTCGTAGGCATCAAATCCCCTATATTCTCTCCTCCAACTACGCTCGCTCCCACATTAAGACGCCTTTGAAGCAGGAATGAAGACGCCGTCACGCCGAGCCCTTCCATTTTTGCATAGGAGAGGATGAAGTAGGCCATGGAAACTGTCGATATGCACCACCCAATAACTACGATTTGCGACCAAGGACTCTGGGCCTGTGTGTTGACTCAGACGCCCGTAGTAGCTGTCCTCTCAACAGCTTCGTGAGTCGCAGTCTGTTGCTCCTATTCTTGCAGAGATTCACATTGTCACACATATATCGCAGAGTTATGGAACTCAATTGTAGTCCTTAAACTCTTGTTGAGTCTACAGAAATCGACTATCGAAGAGCTCTTTCACGAGGACGCCCATTGTGACACCCTGATACACCTGCGTCCAATACTACCCTCAATTCAATGTCATTATCGTGCCGCAACTTCTCATGTTAATTCCTACTCTTCGTATTGCCTCAGTTTCATCCCCCGTTCGCTTGCTCTTGCCTAGTGCCTTTTTTCCTCCAGCTTTTTTTCATACATCACAGCTTACAACACTCTTACACGCATCATTTTATGGTGCTCCTATTCTCACTGCCTTCATTGTAAATATCGCAATTACATGTTGTACTGTACAGTGTACACAATGAATTGTAATTTACATATTTCGTCCCTCTCTGTTCTCTCAGTTTTGGCCCACTCAATGTGCTAGGTGCAACGGGAACATAAACAACCACAGAACAACCACACCAGCGATGTCCTTCTGTTCAGCTTTTCGGTTCGCTATGAGGAAGCACCAACGCTACACACTTCAACACAATGCACGGCGTACACACATCCGCATCTGATGGAATCGACATATGGTGGATGATTGGTAACGGTTCAATTTGCCGCGTTGCCGCGGGTATTTTTAAAAGTCCGACTGTTTATTCATGATGTATCGCTAGATCTTTTTTGCATACCTATGTATGCTGTCACAGGCTGGCTGGTTGTTCTATTTTCTACTTCTTCCCGATCCACCACGCCTTTTGTAGGTGAAGTGGAATCGGTAGGCTCACCACGTGAAGAAGCGCCTTTTGTAGTCCTCCTCGGAGAAGTCGAAGAATACCGCGTCATCGAAGCCGTGAAGTCCGGCCAGATCAAGGGGCCCATCGTAGCATGGGCCATTCTAACCCTAGTGCGAGTGCTAGGACGGCATTCAGGGATGTCTATGGCCCCGAGGTGTGCTTCTCTCCATCAACCTTCGGTGAGCACTTGAAGCGATGGAACGCTGCACTTCCTTCATCTGGCGCTAAGTTTGTTAACGCTGGAAAGACTGAAGGAGGGGAATATCATGATGCAGCTCAGCACCTTGGGGAGATCTGAAGGCCGCAAAGAAGCAACTTGGGCGTTCAGGGAAGTAGTACTACGGGCGGCCACACAGCCTATATCTTACAATTTGTCATATTGTATTGTTTTGTAATCATATCATAGTCGATCATAATACATCGACAATGTTCTTGCACATGTATAAGGAATACTAAAGCCAAACGCAAAGGTTAAGCCTGGCGCAAGAGGGCGTAAAATAGTTTTCAGCAAGAAATGAGGTTTTCACTCATCCGCTTCAGTCTAGCTTCATCAGACTCCCCCTTTCCCTTCTCGAGCTTGATGAGATCTCCGAGCTCTCCTTTCCACCAGGTACTCAGAAGTGGCGCGACAGCAGGGTTGTTGTTGGCCCACCGAAGAACGCGTAGCGCATCCGCATGCCGCGGCATCTCGATGAATCCGTAACCTTTGCTGCGGCCTTTTCCTGTGACAGGATCTACCCGTTCATGTTGACGCACGATTTTGTCTTGCTGGACCCCTTTGGATTTGCTTCCCTGCGATCGTTTCCCAACCTTCGGTTTCGTGCTAGAGTCGTCTGGTTCATCGGCTTCCTTGGTAGCTTCTTCCAGCTTCTCGGGAGTCAAACCGTTGCGTTCTCCCTTCTGGACTTCATCTTTGAATGCACGAAGAGCGTGGAGGGCGAGGCGTTTGAGAGTCCGTTCAGTAACGAATAGGGGTATCTGGCGAATGCTGAGTCGGGTCTTCGATACGTATAAGGAAGGATTTGTCCGCAACATCGTGCGGCGCGCAGTGAATGAATTAGTCCGTTACTCCAGTTCAATAGGTGGTATGGTGCTGGCCGCTGGCGTATTGGGCAAGATGACTGGAGATTTCTGGTTTACAAAGATAACAGGGATGACAATAAAATGAACCTTACCTCCTTCACGCAACAAGTAAAGATTTCTTTTGTCTGCCTTTTCTCGTCTTCTCTCGCCTTCATCCTTTAGTTTACCTGCTTGATCCCGCGTGACAGCTCTCACGACATCCAAAGTGCGACCATGAAGTACAAGACTTTTAGCTACGCCTGAAGATGGGTCAGGTGTTAAGATGAACGGCAGGGTAAATGTTGGCTGAGCGGAGAGTGAGACGTACTTGCTGCGAGCCCATGGTTTCGGCGCGCAAAATCTCGCTTTGCTCGATCACCTTGTCGGCGACCTCTTTATTCCAAAAGCAAACAAAACCGGTACCCTCGCGAACATTTAGTGCCTGGTTCGACGGTGCTCCTTCGAGCTTTCAAATGTGTCCTTGTCCTACACTCCACCCATAAGAAACCCATCCACGAATAAACGACAACGAAACACACCATCTTCCTATCCGCCCATTTGACCCTCAACTTCCTCCCGTTGATCTCGATCCCCTCAGTCGACGCGGTATCAAAAGCAGTCTGCGCATCCTCCTTGATAGAAAAGGATACATAACCAAAACCTTTGGATTCCCCAGATCCTTTCTTGGATACAACAAAAGCGTAGCGCACGGGTGCTAGGTCTGAGAATGTTGTTTGTAGGTCGGTGGATGTTGCATCATAAGGGAGGTTGGATACGAATAGTGTGGACCTGACAAAGTGCAATGTTATGTTGTGTGGTTTGATGTGCAAGTATTGACTTACCCGTGTGGTAGGGGCCAGTGGTTTGCGACAACCCAAAGAAACGAACAAAGGGGAAAACGGGTTTCACGAGAGACACATCCGGGCTAGTGTTGTTGCAAAGCTACCGAGTTTTGCCAACCAGTTCGGCAAAACTGGTTGTGCCCGGTCCTCGGCAGAACTCGTGCGAAAGGGGGGTGGCAAAACTTGGTAGAACTCCAGGGTATGCAAGACTCGCGGAGATGTATTTTAGCTCTCTGATAACATAGTTTGAATTCAAGAGAACATGCAAAACGACGTCCCTAAAGTAAGATGGTGCATGCTGGAGGGCGCCCCCTCGCATCACTGACCAACGACAATTTCGAGCGCCTGGAACGAGTTAACAACAGCTCGCATCGTTATTACTGTAAATGCAAACATTGCAGTGACACTGATAACTCATCAAGAGCGCACATTCTCTGATCTCGGCACAACACAATCTGCACGGCGGTGTAATCTCAGTCGACACATTTGAAACGCTCGGCAAAATTCGTGCAAATTTTCGATACCACAACACCATAAGACCTATGGAGGCTGGAAGTCCACCCGCCGTCATGGGCACCTCCGCTCTCGATTGAGCCTCGCGATGTAGATGTGACCTTCTTGCTGGTCCAGAGAGTATCTCGCCTGACGACATTCACTGACGTAAATCCGAGATGTCGCAAATTTTGCTCCCTCGCTCCGGAGCAACACATGTAAACAGACACTCACTGCGGAAACAAGAAAATAGTCAGGCCGGATTAGTGTAGGGACAGACCATATATGCGGAATATAAACAGACATCGCATACAACGCAAATCCCGAAGCGCTAGACTAGCGAGAGGTACACAGTGCTGGCTCTAATCCGACACTGGACACATAAATTTTGCAGAGGTAGATTAGTTATCTGTGTATCTAATCCGACAATAGGATCATATCGGAAAACACGACTTGCACATCTGAATTATGTCTGCATTCACGTTTTTCGCTCGCATGAGCGCTCTGACTTATCTGCCTAAAATCTCGTTTCCGCAGTGATTGCCGCTGAATTTGCAGCTCTCAAAAAAGGACTGAAGAAGTTCAGAAGTTGAAGAGCTCGTGGGAAATGCTTTTGATTTCGATGAGTTGGATCGGGTCAAACAAGGAATAATATTACCACAAACTGTTAGATGAGATTGAGGTGATTATGTAATTACAATGGCGAGGGTGACAGCTGGGACGAGGCAACATTAATTAATATTGATGTCATCTCATACATATAGTCTACATAACCTAGCTAAGTGCCTAGAGTTTTGCCAAGTTCTGCCACCCTGGCAAAACAACCGGTTTTGCCGGTTATAACCGGCAAAACTAAAGCCAAGTAGTTTTGCCCCCCACACTACACATCCCCTCCATTCTGCTAACCCAAATGACTTGGCCATTAGCAGGCACTGCTTTGCTCAATATGTCCTTGCGTCCAAGCGGTCTTATAACGGTCCTTCATAAGTTTTTTTCTTACCTTGTGTATCCCAGTTTAGGTTGCTGAGGTTCTGCAGGTTGAAAGAACTCAAATCCACTCCAAACGCGGCCCCGGTGGAGACGCTAGCAATTGTTGACGACAAGATAAAGGAGCTGAAGAGGGAGCATCAGGAAAATATCGAGCTCCTTACTGCATTCCAGCTGCAGAATGCCGCCAAGGCTCAAGAAGTCCTTATCAATTTCATTCCTCACTCTCTGGTGCCTCAACTCACGATCACCCGCGCATAGGTCTTGCGCTTGCCCCTTGGAATTTCCACTACCTCCTAAGTGCTCTTCCTCACCGCAGGCCATTACTCACGGATGTACACGCAGATTCACGAGAGAGCGGCAACGTCAACGGCCGCCATCACATTCTAACCTGCATCTTTTTCAGTCTCGACTACCCACCAACCAATCATCTGCTACAGCCTTCAAAGCACGCCCATACCACCTATGGATCCCTCGTGCGTTGCCGCCAATTTTCGATGTTCGTCTTGCCCCGGGTCAACTGGTATGCCCGGTTCATTTTTATCGCTGTAGTGCAGGTCTCACATTCATTTGCAGCGCAACAACGCCGTCGATAACTTGATGAAGTATATGTTCCTCATCCATGCAATTCGCCACGGGGCAGCTCATGGCCAGAGAGTATGGAAGTGGCTGGTTGCGTCATTGCTGAGGATGTTCCGTGGGTATTACTCGTCTCATACGTCAAATTCACACTCTTGGATTATGGATATAAGCAACACCAAAATGCATGCCGCTGCAATATCTCTAGCGTCCTGACCACGTCCAGGATAGAAGAAAGGTCTTTGACTTGTGCAATAATATCATGATCTGACGCAATTCTCTTATATTCTCCGCCGCGCTGTTGCGCTAGTAAAAATGCGCGAAATGGCCGCTCAAGGCGAGCAGCCGATCGCCCAGTTCTGAATCAACCGACTCCTGTGCTTCAGGGAACTCGCCAGGCGAATCCTGTAATGGAGACACTCGGGCGCGGACCAATAACCTTCCTCGCTCTGCGTGTCGTCAGTAACGTCAGGCAGCTCTGCCAAGCCAGATGGCTCCGCGAAGTCAGGAAGCTCGAGGAGATAACGATTCCACGGACGAACGAGCAAGAATGTCTGCATAGTGGGTCGTGGTGATCAGCTAGTCATGAAGCCCCTCGGCTTTGACTTCATATATCTCTTCGTCTTGAGCGCGACCCTGTTTGACTGCTGTGGCACGAAATGCGATGCAAGGCAGGTGCAGTCCACAGTTCGCGAAACTAGGCGCGTTCAGGTCGTCAAGCAGGACGCAAAGTTTCAGAACAAAATCTACAGCCATAGCATGTCGGAGCGAGAAGATTGACGTGTCGATGACATCTTCGGACAGAGATGGAAGGGTGTGTGGTGGAGCTTTGTATGAAGTAATGTCGGTCGGCAGATAGCTATTAAATTCAGATGGTCGCCCCATCCAGTCCAAGGCGCTGTTGTCACCCGACTGAGCTACGACCTCCTGCACAAGCGCGTTTTGCTTCTTCTCGCCATAAATGACAGGTAGTCTGACGCCAAAGACACCAAACAATGAGTATGCAATATCTTCCGGCCACGGGGTGACGCGGGCCGACATCCATTGGAGTTTCTCCCAGGCGTATCTCGTCCCCGGACGGAAGGCAACGACGGCCTGTGCATCTATGCCCGTCGCATCTCCCATCTCCTGCATGATCGCAAGGGAATCCCTGTGGTTGGGGAGAGCGATCGTCGAGATATAGGGACCAATCCTTCTGATAAAATAGGACAAATTTTGGGGCAAAAAATTCCTGAACCGTCCATCCTCGCGCGTTCCAAGCGCTACTTGCGAGTGCCCTAGGCTGCGACGAAGGTGGAACGTCCGACAGGTAGATGATGGTAGGTGCTGAGTGGCGATACCGGATAAACATGGAATTGACTGATTGTTGGAGTTCGACGTTGTTAGTCTGGTCGATGCAACAGGTATCGATTCATGTCCAGCGATACCCCATATCGCGAGCAGTTTTACAGAATGAATGCAACTTCAGCAGTAAGAGCTCACCGATGTTAGTGGAGCGTGATGACTATATTTCAGATGCACGATTACAACAAGAATGGACATAAAAAGATGATTGGTGAGGGAGAAAAACTGAAACCAGTTGGGCCACGGGTTGACTGAGAAACTGAGAGGAAGCGAGGAGAAAAAAGCTGGAAGCAAGGGCGACACCTTTGAAAGTTAGGATTTGGATAAAGCGTGTATTGAAAGACCGAAACTCCCCCATTAGAAGCGGATGTGAGACACGATAAGAGCGGAATTTGGTTGCATCTGGGGCACAGGCAGATCTTAGGAATAAACGAGATGAAGAGATGATATATGCAGTGAATTATGTGCACTCGGATATGTTACATGATGAAGTGTTGGGGAAACTGCTCGACACGAGAAACAATGATATTGATGCGGCAATCTATGGAGGGTAGACAGCTTTCGGTCAGGACCGGGAAGCAGCAATTGCACTATCGTCATTGGATGGAGGGGACATATGTTCTGTAAGCTGAGGAGACATGAGACGGACGCATGTACGCAGCGCAGTCGAGGAAGGCCGTTACGACTCGTAGGGAGCATCCTTGCTGGAACGGAGGCGAATTACCTCGCGTCTTGGGCGGCTAGGAACGAATTAGGTTAGCGTGGTGGAGCAGCGTAAAATGCACAACACGCGCACCACTGCAGCTTAGAGAAAGACACCCCGACCGTGCTCAACATCATCAACCTAACTTTCTATTGTCAGCGTTCACGATGCGAGTTCCATTTGGCGAGAACGCGATTAAGTTAACCGACCCAGTTGCCCCAATAAGGGTTCACCAACGGGCGCCACGTTGCTACATCCCGCAACCGGACAGTGTTATCGGCCAAGCCAGATACGATGCGCATCCCATCCGGTAAGGAGATGAACCTGAGGTAACCGAGTCAGTGTGGCCCAGCAGGGGCTCACCGAGAGCTTGCCCCGTCGCTACATCCTACACCCGCAGTGCAATCATCCGATCCAGTTGCAATGCGAGTCCCACACGGCGAGAATGACACTGGGTTAACTCTATCAGCGTGCCCTCTGATCATAGTCCAAACACCCGTCCAGTTGATACCACGTCTAGATGCCAGACGAAGAAAGTTAGGAAACCGCGTAGAGATAAGGCCATTGGAGACTTGAATAAATCTTTGCACGTCCACTGCAGCAAACGAGGCATCTTCGTATCCGGTGTGACCCTGCGATTGCGCGTGAGTGAGCTTGTTATCTGACACTTGATAACCATGTGCTCACCTTCAACCACTGGGCAATATAAGCGGAAGGGCGGGGACTGCGCCGCTAAGCGCATTATTGTTATGTATTTTGAACCGCCACAAACACGTGAGTCAAGGCTTTTAAAAAGTCTCGTGACTAGTACTGAGCTTATGTGAGCGTCAATGGCGAAATAAAATATTCATCAATTTACTATGCATCGATCCACTAGGCTGAGGACGTAGCATTGAAATCCGACCGCTGTTGAATCCAGGATAATGCACGCATCTCGATATCACCGCAACTTGAGTTGTTGAATGAATGCTCCAGTCAACTTCAGCCGGGTCCGGAGCGAAGTTGAAAATGAAGACCAGTGCGTGAAGAAGCCGGGCACTTTCTCCGGATAGTTGGTACGTCTGTGGTCCTGCTGTCCTACGAAAACTCATCACCCTACTCTTCTCCTCTCACTCATTTTAGCATGTCCCAGCGCCCATTAAATGCTGCAGGGGACCCGATCAACGCCAATGAGGAGTGGGCGCAAAGCATAATCAAAGACAATCCTGATTTTTTCAAGGACTCGGCTACTCATCCCCAGACGCCCAAGGCGTGCCCTACGCCTCGTCACATGCCCTTATGTCGTTAGCCGCTTTCGAAGATCTTCCTACTGCCATCTGGGTCCTTTGGATCGGCTGCTCCTACTCATGAGCGCCGGCCTCCGTTGTCACAGCGTCCATACCTGGTGATATCTTTACACACACGAACATTTCCCAGTATGTGTCAACCAAAGTTCATTCAAATCTGAGAGCACACCATACTCACTATCCTTATAGCCAATTCCACAGCTTTGACGACAACACTAACTCCGTCCTTTCCTATGCTATAGACTCGGTTGGCGTCGAGCGCGGTCAGTCTCTCAATCTTCCCATGATAATATTTCGATCGTCCCTCTGACAGGTATACGCTTTCAACAGTTGTCCTCGTTGGTCACAGCATCTGCGGAGGTGCCAAATCAGCGATAAAGGCTGCCGCCGAATGGCCCGTCGAGCCCCACGACCCACTCACGCGTTGGTTGATCCCCCTCGTCCAACTCGTTCGAACACTCAACCTCCACGGGTCACCTGAGAATGAAGGATGACATGTACATCCTTAGCGGAGGTGCGGATAAGAAGATCTCAGAGTGGCCAGCAGCATCCGAGGACGCATTGCTAAAGGATAGTCCAAAGGATGGTGGTCTCATGAAGGAGCAGGTAGCACGTCAGGTAAGTTTGGTTTCATTTCCCCGCCTGTTCGTCATCTCATCCTCTTTTTTTACGCCAAGGCTCAAGTCTGCTATGACGTCAAGGCATATTTCCACATCTGAAGATCTGACTCTTATAACGCAATACGAGCATGCTTGACGCAGGTCCTCGCTATAAACTCGACAACCCGCAATGCATGCATAGTTGGGGGCTGGCCTGTCGCTGAAAAGATGCCAAATCTAGATATTGACGCTAATGCCAACGATCGCATCGCCTATGCCAATCGTGCGTCTGTTATGGCACGAAAATGCGACTGGAACCGTGCGCTGCATGATGCAATTCAGGTGAGATAGACTGACCCGTCATGACCTCCTTACAATAGCTAACTTTGATGATGTTACAGTCCGTCAGAATTCAGCCCTCCTTGGCCAGCCATATCTCCAAGGGCATTTCCCTGAAAAAGGCAGGTAGTATTTTTATAATGTACTCCGTGCTTCATCGAGGTTTTTAGTCCATTGCGTTGTTCAATGCAAGTGAACATCAAGAGGCAATTCTGCGCATCGGAGAGCTAGTCGCGCGTCTCAATGTCGATCCTGTTGCTTGTCGTATCGTGGAAGTGAGTACCATGGCGCTCGAGTACACCAGGTTCATGTTCTGTCATTGATTTATTTTGCCCTTCGTACACTAGGCGTACCTCCGTATCCAACTGGGGAAACATTACATTGGATGGCGCGGGCCACAACGAAGCCATTGAACGCTTCACTGTCGCCGTCAATGCTAGCGCTTTCTTTTATAAATTGCCAATTCATTTAATGTACGAGGAATTTATCATGGTATGTTGATTCGATGTGCAACCGAAAAATTATTTCATGCTCAACTGCATGTTTTCCGCAGCTTTTCGGCTGGAACCTCGAGTCCTTGCGGCAAACCGCAAACCAGCAACAGCGTCATGCGCTCTTTCGGGCTAGTAGTTGGTTTTGGAGTAGCTATCGAAGCGTATCAGTCCATGATGGACAAGGTTGATGATGATATGAAGGCCGGCTTACGCGCTTGGTTCGCTGGCGAGTCTTCAGTAATGTTATAATTCGCAGCCGCGTTTCACTCAGCTCTTGAGTAAGAACAAAAGGCGTTCTATGCTTCCCATCGAGATGCTGCGCTCGCAGCGAGTGGTTACTCGTATAGCTTGAAACGCATAGATTCGTTTGCACCTTGATAGTACTATATGTATTACGGGAATAGTCCTTTGTACTCCATCACACACCGGCTCACTTGGGCAGGTTAACCTTACGCCTCCGAGTCTCCTTACTTCACTTGAAAGCACTTCGCATCATCTCGTGCGTCTCTCTTGACGATTCGGCCTAAGTGCGATCATATGCGTACTCAGTATTCCTGATGTCTGACGATATTCTTCGAAAATGACTGAAGGTCCAGCTAAGAATTCTGCAGACCAAGCCGTCCACCTCCCGTTGTTGGAAGGGTTTCTTCGCAAAGCAGGCGACCGTCCTAAACCTCCTGCTGTTGGAAAGGTTTAGTTGAATTATTTTCTTCGTGAAGCAGCTCGAGTCGGTCGCTGGTTGTGACTTTCCCACACCACCGATGTATTGACCTTTAAGAGGTTATTCAGGCGCTGATCGAGAAAGAACTCAACGCACAGGTGGGTGGAAGCTCGGGTTATCAATAACTAGCCGGAATAATCTCGTCAGAGGGCCAAGGTCGACGTTGCGCTCTTGAGCGGAAGTGGTGATCAACCCAATGATGGTCAACGGGTCGAGGTTAAAGTTGAACGGAAGGACAAGCGACGTAATATTGGAATGTCCATTAGCATGGATTGGGTTTGAAGACATGTCAACATGATTGATAGCGCCAAGGGTCAGGTTGTGGTAGGTCGCGATTGCAGTGACTTCAAGCAGATTGATGCTGGCCGTGAACGGATTTGCCAAAGTGAAAGTCGTCGACGCCACACCAGTTTGAACGATATCAGTGGGAAATCCAAGGGAAGCACTGCCAATGAGGTTCTGGTGCAAAGCCGGGATAGTCACTGGTGACAAATTGATCTGCGCAAGAGCCGGTTCCAAAGAGCCGATCGAAGTGGAACTAGAGGTCCCCATGATGGTTGTTTGCGAATCGACGCCCTGAAGGTGGTTCCCGAGCATTGCTGCCGCTGTTTGCGCAGCTCCTTGAGGGGAGCGATGGACGTCTAACGGATACTACGAGTAAATGTCTACACTCAGAGAAAATGTAAATACCAGTAGGATAGGACGCGTTCTCAGGCTGGATGATCATGTTGCTCTGCAGATGGGAAGGTAAACGCCGAAACGGAGTGAAGTCATGAATACCCACCAAATCGGCAGAACCAATGACTTGGTTTCTATTGACAGCCGGTTAGTGTGTATTTCATAGGAATTTGAGAATATGCTCACTCAAACTGCAATGTAAACGAGACATCGCCAGTGCCCGAGAGCAAATGTCAATAGCAACAATCAAAGGTATGCTGCCGCCCACCAATTGTCAGGTTGCTACGAACGAGTAAAGATTTATATTGGACTCGTCTTCATAACAGATTTCACATACCTCGGGTTGAAAAGTGAAGCGTCCACTGTAATCAACAGGTAATCCGAATATCCGTAATTGACGTCCAGATTGGCAACAGAGGCAGGTTTCACCTTGAGCCCTTGCAATCCCGTGATCGTAGATTGCACAGAAAATTCAATGTCCACAAGAGACAACATGCCAACGGCCGTAGACGCATCGGCGTTCGCAGTGCCCGACAGCGCCAACCCTTGCGAAGATCCTAGCGTCGTAGCAGCTATGAAATTCTGGAAAGTCTCATGCTGGTCAGAATACACAGCAAACGGATCATCGTTAAACGTCAAGTAAATGATACGATTCTGAACATCAGTCGTGCTGGGGCCCCGTGGGATCACCAGTTCAGCAAAAGATGCCCAGCAGTAATATTCTGCGCAAGCGCCGTGATATCGACTGGGAAAGCGAAAGGCAGCAGTGGTCAAATTACTGCCTGACATTGGATCGTATGCGGTGGCCTCGGTGAACATGAGAGACGACTGTTCGAGATCGATCGACTGGATGATGTTAAGCTTTCCTTTGTTCGGCAGCGATGTCACCACCCGAATGGTTTGTATACCTTCATTCAACTAAGTGACCTGTAGGTGTGATAAGCAGGCACCATTCTGATGACAACAGGTATCTCACATCGCTCGGGCCAGCACCAGCGCCATAAACGGTGACCTGACTGTCCATGCCATGAATGTAGTTGTTGAAAATAGCGGAAACAGTCGCGAACCCTTCTAAAGAGTTCTGCGGAATGAGCCGACCAGCTGACCCGAGTGATGAGGTATAATTTGGCGCTAGCGTGACAGTCGAAGTTGAAGAGACCGGAGCTATCTCAATGCCGTTGGAATAGGTATTGAACGCAAGGGAGCTGAGTTCAATGCCAACTCGAGAAGGCTACAACGGAAGAGACTTGGATGAGGCATCAAGATTGAGCAACGAAAACCTACATTGATGACCTCTGAATTAATCGTCAAATGGATTCCGCCAGCAGGGTCGTTGAATGGGAGATCGAAGGAATCGATGACCACACCATTCTTAAGACCATTGACTCGGAAGCCCTTCAAGGCGACCGCTTTGGAAGGAAGAGAGATGCCGGATACTTCGATACCTTGGGGCCTGTCAATGATATGGCGCCGAGCTTCCGCGAAACTAACACACCAAGAGCACTATGTATCCGCCAAATGCTCGTAAGCGACAACGCAGTTGTACCCAGCATGAACGTACCAGTCAGGTTATCGCCAGAAATGACCGATTCAAACGATTCGTTATTTGGCATAACCTAGAGACGTTGAGAAAAAATATAATGTATTGGATGGTGTTTCTCCCGCCTTGGTAAATAATCTGCGTTTGCGACTTCAAACGTAGTTTGCCCGTTGAGAGTAACTCCGACATCACCAATGTCATTAACGGTGGACCAGGTGTCCCAAGTGCAGGAGCTACGCACCAAGGGTCCTATCGGCCCTTTCCACAGCTTAGTCAGCACGTAATTGAGCTACAAAGCAATCGATATCATTACCCCATGACGCTGCCACTGACGACCTTCTGGACGATAGGTTTCGCCAAGATGAGCAGGATTAAGTTGAGGCTGCTGTCCGCAGAAATAGGGACATCAGTCTGAGTATAACTGAGTACTAGTGTCGTCGCGTAGTTCCCTGCAACAGTACTGCTGTGAGTAATCGAAAGCAAATGTACGGCAAAATTCGAACCCAATCGTTAGCTGTGAAGATAGTTGTATGTCACTCCTCAACTGCTTGAACACTTGGTCAACAAAATTCGGCAGATTGAATCCCTTGAACAGTTGATTTAGTATCAGAAGCGAAAAGAAATTTGTAGAATTGACGTGTATATGTTAGCTCTCCGTTGCTGCTGAGGAACTGGCTTGGAGTCCGCCGTCGTGACAGTTACATACTGATAATCCCCAAGAACTACATGTCATCCAGTTGCGTGGAATCTAAACCTGCCTGCACGGCAAGCACGGCGAGTCAGTGTGAAGAGCGTTGGCGGATCGTAGTTCATGGTCATGTCGAGAACGGGAGACTTCGCAGTTGATTTCCCTGCAGACTTGAAATTCGTGGCAGTATTGATGGAACCAAGGTACAAGCCATGCGACATGACGTTAGATGAGATACTGGTGATGTCGAAGCCTGCAGCGAAAGGATTAACGAGCGCTACGGCGACCTGACTGATGTTGTTTGTAACAAAAGTGGTAGGAAGGACTGTTCAATCGTTTAACAGGTTGGTCCGAAAACAAGCAACCCAACTTACTCTCCAAAGAAACCCGTTGACAAAAGACTGGAGTTGAGGCCAGGGAGCGTGGCGGTGATGTTCATACTTTCAAAGGCCTCCAGGAGAGAAAGCGACCTGTGTACTCCCACTGTAGCCCACGATATTAAGCTCCACGTCTGGCAACCTAATTATTCCCTCTCTTGAAGGAAAAGATTCAAGATATACCTTGACCGCCAACAAACTGGCTGAGTGTTTGCAGTCCTTCGGGTGAGTTGTTAGGCTGTAAACATGGTGAATTGAGAAGTGGTGGGCAGAGGCAGTAGACAGCCGTACATCGAAAGCAGATGTGGACCGAGTTATTCCCCATGCTCATTGTTAAGTTGGGCATCAGTGCCGTTCCGAAGATTGCACCACCGCGTTGCAGCTGGAGTTCTGTGACAAGAAGTATATCAATTTCAAATTCTTACACTACAATCGACTGCCACCACTAATGTAGGTCGCCAGTAGCGAGATCAAGATTGGAAGGGTTATAGATGAACGCCAGGGATGAAGTCAGCTACGATTTGACAACATCTAAGAAGCCTTCTTACCATCGATGCTAAAATTAAGGGCTTGCTGGGTCCCTCCCATAAGGTCGACAGCCCCAATGGTGGTATACCCCTTCGGACCTTGCAGGCCATTGAGACTGGTCGACCCGTTGACCTTGATAGGGTCGAGAGTAATTTGACCGATGCTCGTGTTCGTGACCGCGCGAGAATTGCCAACCAGCAGAAAGTCAGTCGTGGTAGAATCTGTAAGCTCCATATCGACAAAATATACTGAATGCGGCGAAACTACCATGCTCTGGATCTGCGGCATTCAAAACACTGTTTAAAATGGTGATGTTAATGGTGCCCTCGGGTGTCTGTCGGGCTCGGCACAGTGATTTGAAGACGTTGGTGGCACCCAGGCGCTGCGCGGCAAGATGGTTACTTGCGAATTACAAATGTAGTGGGGTGATCATACCGTATTCAAACCCGCTGCATTCGAACCGTTTTTGACAATTAATGAGCTCATTCTGCATCTGGTCGATAGACAAGCCAAACCCAAAAGGCAACCCTGTTGCGCTCAAGTCAAATATGATGACAACACCCGCTTTCACCACAATTGACGCATCGTCGCGCGAATTGAGTTACTGTCCGTTCGCGGGGTCCATGTCGTCTCTGAAGTGAATGCAAGCGCCATGCTCCCTATCTGGATAGACCGAATTGGGGTTGATCGGTGTGGTTGACTTGAAGGGCAAACCGTGAACTGAAGGCTTTCCAAACCCTGGCTAAGTCAAGATATCTGCGAACCATCAGGCTGCAATGTTGACTTGCCCACTGCAATGACAGGCGAACTTTCGAAATTGATGTGATTGGTGAAAAGCTGCGAGAACCGTCGCAAGGTTAGCAGGCGTCGTCTGGGGTACCAAAATACCGTTCAACGTGATGTTATTACGACCAGGGACCTGAAGCAAGTTGATAGATCTGAATCGAGAATTTAGAACATAGGACCTACAATATTGGTATTGAACCCCGTTCCAGTACCAAGATAAACATTTTGGTAGACGCAAGGTCAAAAACTACTGTTCCCAGCTCCAGTGCGAAAGGGCTATACAAAGTGATCGGGTCAGAATGCAATGAAGGCTCTAGGTTGAAGAATACCTTGTATTGTTCAACTGCGTAACCGCCACAAAATCAATACCTCCCCCCAGGATTGTCGCTGGGTAATTGCATGTCCTCGAGAATGACATTGCCGTCAAAATCATTCGCGCCTTAACAAGACTCCTTGTCAGTTGCACCAAAATCTACGTGAATATAAAAATACTGCACCATTGATGGTCGCCACTTTATTGAATGAAATACCATGCGGGGGTGGGGAACTTCATCGCCTGGACATTCAGATTGGAACTCTGTAATTTCCAAGTAAAATTTTGTGAAGTAATCATTGAGCTCGTGAAGCGGCCGAAGGCGTTTTGATCCGCGATGTAGAAGGGTCGTGGTATCATTGATCGTTGCCCGTTTATTGGAAGCATACAGGATCGAAAGCGACATATAGCCGAGAGGTACTTCAACACTGCCATTCATCCAGCTCACGTTTACTGGCTGCGAGAAGACCGCTGCGGCGGAGAAAATACCAGTATGAGATACCTGAAACCAACGGTCAACAGATACGATCACAATACAACGCCTAGCATTGCCAAAGTGAAGCCGCATGATAAGTGAGCGCGTTTACTGTGCATCGCAATGCACGCTTACGACGTATTTGAAGGGAACGGTATTGCCGCCTGTTGGATATCCAACGTGGATTGGTTGATTACATACTGAACAGTTGTGCGGAGCACGGGGACAGAATGATGAAGAGCGACGCGATTCCCAAACAAGCACCAACGATCGAAATGATTATACACCATCTTCGTTTGTATAGAGGAAGTCTAGGGGCAACAATGGGTACTGCCGTTGCATCTGTATCCGACTCTAGCTGAGCACCGGCAGAGTCAGTTCCTGCAATTGGGGCAGCATGACCTGTGATGCAGAGTTATGCCCGACCAAGTTATAGACTGACGAGCGCTACATTACCTCTCAGCGACAAGGTTGACCGACCACCAAGAGTATATGCCTCTCCCCGTTGAGGGTAATTCCTCCATCTGTCGAAGGAATGTCGCAATGCCAAAGGCAAAAGGATGGGTAACTTAAAGACAATGATGAGCTAAAAGACGCGAAATCGGACACGCGGGATGTTGGGAACCCCAGACTGGTCATAGTTGCTTGAAAACACAGCCGACGACAGGACTTTCGAGAAAAAGAGCATTACAGATCTGGAATAAAACTTCGCAGGGCGTTTGTCCAAGATCGTCTACCTGTAAATCACGACATGGAGCCGTTGCAAATATTGACACGAAGGTGTTGAAACAAAGTCACTCCGCAGCTGGGTTGATCTCTGCCAAACAGAGACTATACGCGGATCATTGACGCGCGACGGAGGAAAAGGATCTTGATTGGCTATGCTTTCCCGGACCACATTAAATTTATCGAATGTCGTCACCTTGATGGACAACTGACCTGTATTGAATTGACAGCTAAGTCTGACAACCGAGCTCAGCATAAGCAGTCAAGGTGGGCTGGCCGCTGTTGCATTCACTCACAATCTAACTTAGGACAACAAGTTTCCTCGCAGATTCCAGTCCAAATACTTCAAGCTGACGCATGCTTAATGGGATGGCCGAAGGGCCGTAGGAAACAACGGTACTTCCGATCGAGGTTGTAACTAGGAACGTTGAACCTTATCGTGGATCGTGAACGGCGAAACAAATGACGCGGGTGCTCAAAGTTCGATCTGTGGTACAATTGTAACTTGAATGTTGGTGAATAGTGATATGTATATACGCACTGTCATGTGCGCGCGGACGCCTGAACTAGTCGCTTTAAATTTCAGCTTTCTGAGATTATACCAGGGAGGCTTGAAGGCGTTATCTGCCAGTGGTCAAATGAAATTTTGTAACGGTATTGGTTCAAGTTATTGGCACATGATGTACATGGGTGCGATCATCGCCGGTCTTGACTCTATAATAGTAGTAGGTTCAATGGTCGCCTCCGACTAGTCGGTGAGTTCCGTTTCAGTGGCATGACCTTCCTAAGTAGTAGCTAGGATTCACACGGTAAATGACGTACCGGTACCGAATCAAATTGTTTGAAGTGCTCTCATCATCATCCAACGGCAATATGAAAACCTAGTCCAATCACTTCGCTTGTCTACCATCGTACGCGATTTATTGTGCGCTCCTTGAATTTGAACGGCCGACCTCTACGTATCAAATGCTCCGCATTTTTCAATTTGTAGTCTTTGCGGGGCAGAAACCTGACGACTTTCCAATTGCACAGCGACCGGGCCACTTGTACACACTATGAAATTGGAAGGAGGTTAATTGTCATTTTATAAATGATCTGGTGACTCGTTCACGAAGCTCGTGATCACTTCAATAATCAATCATATAAAACAAGACGGCTGCCGCAGACTGCACATTGATAAGGTGTACAAAGCGTTCATCGATGAGTCCGCATCTGGGGCTCCCTCAAATTTTCTGGTATCCTCAGTGGGAGTTCCACGTATACACAGTTTCGCCTCTGTTGGCCTGGATTCACCTGCCGAACGTGCCCAGTTTTTGCTGTTATCTACGCTACGCCCCAGGACCATAGTGAGCCTCCTTATTGTCACGGTCGTATTTGAAACAAGGAACGGAAATCATTAATATTTGCCAGTTACGTTCATATGATTGTATCTACAATTGCAGCGGTGAGGTTCTCGGGTGATTATTCTGCGCGATGTTCACGGATTATAGCCGCCGATCCAACAAACATCTTTGCGAAAGGCTTCTTCATCATCGAGCGTTCGATTTGGATACTCATGGTGCAAAAACCTGCAAAAACACGCCCAGCCGCGGCTCCCGGTCTACACATCAAACCAGACTTGAACGTACCACATGGCTATCGATATGCAGCTATTATTATCTTAGGACATGAGCGTCATTGCGATCCTTCGAACTTCCTATGCCGCAAGTACAAGGCAACTTCGTATCCAAGCGCTCAACTATGCCTATTTCACCATCACTGCCATTTAGTACAATTCGTTGCTTTACTTCGCGAGAGAACGTGCATCTCAATCGCCACCGCATTCACGTTCGCTGTATTGGTTCTCAGAATTCATTGAACCTAGTTCATCTTGAGCCACGCAGGCCACGGCCCCAGTGGTCCTCGCCACCGCATTCGCATATGGAGAGCATTGTACTGGAATACGTACATAGCATAAATCCATGTGTGACGTATTAATGGCAAGGGCAAAGGAAATTTTCATAATCGGATGAGCATAAAGTTGTCGAAAGGGTAAAGTCAAGTAGCTTCTACATCGTGCTTGATCATATCAGCCAACCGTTTTGCGACTTCTCGAGAAATAACGCAACGCTTAGTGAGATGAGTGACAAGATCCTTCCTTCTCAGGCACGAATTCCCCTGAAGTAACCCTTCAGCTTATGTGTCAACGACGCGGACAGATTAATATTATCCCCTCCTAACCAAGCTTGCTTCTGCTCGTTTGCAGTAAAATTTTCAACCAGGTTACGGATCCCGATCGTGACGCGATTCTTCATAAAGGTCTTTGCGTCTGCCGTCCAATCTATTAGCGGCGGCGATGCACGCGTGACCAACGACCTTTATCTGATAGTTGTCGAATGCGCCCTGTTCTCTCCCACCAATCCTCCATCCTCTTTCTCTTTCAAGATTAGTGGTCGCAAGGACAATGGGAATCTTCTCTCGCAGAGGAATTCGTGAAAGAGCCTGTAATTGCTCTGCAGCGTAGCGGTAACTCTGCCGGCTCGAACGCAGAATAAAAGCAAATCAATGCCGCCTTGTTATCCAATTGTTTGATGAGCCGATAGGGTTCTCGACAAACTCGAGGTACTTTTGATTCCCAGTTGCGGTGCCTCGAGTCCAACGGTATCAAAGACTTGTAAGATGTATCGCCGAAGCCGATGTTATACTCTCGCCAGTGCATCGTACAGCGTTGCATGTCAGGAGATGTACGCGCCACCTCCTTTCCCGCTAAGAGGTTGATGAGTGAGCTTTTTCCTGCTCCCGTATCCTGATGCTTGAACCTCCTAATCAAATTAGACAAGTATGGTACGAAGAGCGTCTGAAGGCTGTGCACCTTGCACCCATTTTAGGATGGATAGGATATTCTTTAATTCTCAGACGCGGGGTCTTAGGGCGTTAGGGCGTAAGGACACCCCAGAAGTCTTGTCATCCAAGTTGATGATTTCTGAACATTGCAGCATACGCGTCGCACGTCAGGGCTGTGGGCGCTACCCCTCTCCGACATGAAGTTGACGAGTGAGCTTTCGCCTGCTCCCGACTGACGCAACAATACGATATTTATACACTTGATCGTACTAGTCAAATTAGACAACTATGGTACGAAGTACATGTGAAGGGTACGCGCCTTGCAATCTTGGGAGGATAGGGAATCCTCTGATTCTCAGATGCGGGTCCTCAAGGCGTAAGAACGCCCTAATGGAGTGTAATCTCTCAAAGACAAAAATCTTGACTTTTTTTTTTCGAAAAAAAAGAACGCCTAGAAATT